ATGCCTAACTACAGTTCCAGGACCCAATACCATCTTCTGACCTCCACAGGCATTAAGCACACATGCGGTTCACAGATATATTTGTGATTCATGCAAGCCAAAACTCATACATGCAAAATAAAATAAATAAAACTTAAAATCAGATTTCTTAGTAGTTTCAGTGATAGCTCCACAGGTGGAAATTCACAGTTGTTATTGGGAGTTTAGATGAAACCTGTGAAGAGAATATTCATAGGCCTAGGTAAAGAAAAAAAATTGCTATTGCCTTAGTAAATAAGAATGATATGGAGGCTAAGGTACTTATCAACATTTTTATTTATAAGATTAGGTTATTGCTGCAGTCAAATACATTTGAATGATGTATATTTATTATTATGGCTGTTAGGGGCTCTGATATATATATATATACAAAACTCCAGTCATGCTCTGTAAACATGTATAAATAAAAGATATAAGGATTTAAGGATTCAATATCCTCATTGAAGTTATAAGACATTGTCAAATAGCACATTATCTCCTCCAAAGATGAGTACCCATGGTGAGAGAGAAGGTGGGTAGAGTGTTGTGTAGATGAGTCCTCTGAGGGAAATATCATTGGATATAGAATATCCAATAAAGAGAAACAACATAATACTTTCCAGTGGGATGTTTATATGAAGGTAAATCAACACAATATTCTCAGGGGAGGTGGGACTCTTCATTATGTGTAAATGATTCATGAAATATGAAAAAATTAACACAAAGTTGTTTTGTAAAATCAACAATACTGAGCAACTATGAGATTGCTCTCTTCTTAAGAGTTAATGAGAAGTTAGACTGCAGAATATTGTGGGACTACGTGAGGGTATCTTGGTTCATTGCTGGGCATTGGCCTGGAACCCCAAGACTCCAAAGGAGAAATGACAAGTGTTCGGCCACATCCCCAGAACCCAGAGTCCTGACACGCAGTCTCGTCTCCATAGACCTACATTGTTCAGTCACGTAGGCCATTACAACCCCTCTCAAAGTACACAGAGAGAGGGTGTGACTACAGGCCTCAGGCCCTAATGAAGGTCAGAGGGCAGAGCAAATTAAGCATGCCTCCCCAGATCGTCCCCCTTTCTCCCTCCCTATTTAACTCAGGTCTCCCCTGAGTTTCCAGGGGGTACATCCAGATCCATCTACCATCCGCCATGAAAATAAACCCTTTTGGAACCAAGGACTTCTCATGTCATTGGGGCCTGCCACTGCCAAAGCTGTAAGCCTCTGGAACCTTAGACTTTTTCCTGTTTGTAGGACCTGCTGGCATGGAAAGCCTCTGAGACACCTCCACCACAGCCATGACTATTTTCCCATAAAATATCATTCTCCCTTTAGTCAAGCCTCTTGCAGTCATTTCTGGACCTTTAATTAACCCAACAACAGAATTCATATGAATAACACCAAGAAAACTAATTCATTCACTAAGTTGAACTTTAGTGGTATCTGTACTTTTCCTTGCCTTCTAATGGTATCTGCATTGCTTTGGCTTTCATTCAAGGGAGAGTAGATATGTGTCTCAACATAAAAAGTCTGTCTCACAACATTCACAACTGTATGTGATTGCATGTCTCTCTACGTGTATACAAGTATGTATATGTGTATACACTCATTCTTGCAGAGGTCAGACAACAACATGAAAAAGTAAGGCCTCTCTTTCTAATATGAAGGCCCCAGGGATCATATTCAGTTTGTCATAATAAGAAGCAAACATCTTTACCTGTTTAGCCATATTGAAACCCTCACAAGTATGTTTTTACAGAGTTGTGTTAACTGAGCTTCTCCATGAAAAACATGCCTTGCATTCAGTGTAGAAACCAGTCCTGATTTGGCTCATATTTCTTTCCTTCCCATGATGAGTCAGACAAATAGAAACTATTTCTTAAAATACTTTATCATGTCATTTGTTTATACATTACTTTCTAATTCATTTTATTGTTTTCTTTTGTCTTCATGTCTCTAGAGTCCAATTTACTTGTGATTGTTGCTGATTTTCTCTTATACAAAGCATATCTATTGTCTACAGTGTCTTTTTCTAATGATACATCATTTTGGGGAACTTAAAATGCTTTCCAATTTCAGCAGTCTTTTATAAGAAATATTATTTTAGAAGGGAGGTTCTAAAAGTTCTAATTAGTGACAAGCTAAGGGACTATGTAAAAGATGGATAGGTAAAGAAAGGAATGACAGAAAGAAAGAAACAGACAGACTTTGGTCTATAAATGAACACACAAGTCCTTATTCAGTGTACCATCTTCCTCTGTTTTAAATTTCCAATGACTATGCAATAATACCACTGGCTTAATTTCAAGCACTCGTCATATGGTTCTATTAGCACTTTTCAGATCCAATTATGGAAAGGAAAAATCTGTAGTGGGAGAAACTTAAAGGGATCAGTGATTGAGGCTGGTGCTATAAATAAATGGATTGCTTGTTTTCTTATTTTAAATTGTCTACAAAAAAGGTGTTAAAGAAGATGCATCAATTGCAACTTGTTAATGCTGGTCAATATAAATTCTGCTGTTTTAGCATATTACATATTTGACTGGAATCATTTGACTATATCATTTTGTTTATATTTTGCTCATTTTACACTATTTTTATGATTTCTGGTAAAATGACAGTAAAACATCGGAATACAAAGTACATGCACATTTAGATAAAAGTAATTTCTGCCTGAATTTATTGTGTCTGTTTCTGGAAAGTAAGTATGGAAAGTGATTGGTGAGAGTGGGTTTCCATTAGAGAGTAAAATTTATATCGACTTTGAAATGATAATAAATGCAATACAAGAGAGTAAAGAGGGCTCACAGCTAGAGAAAGGAGAAAAGTCAGAGAGGGGATAGGGATATTATAGTGAGGAATAAAAATGTTTAGAGCATATAATGTGTACTCATGAACTGTCAAATGAAATCCGTTAGTATAGAAGTTGGTTAGAGGAAGATATCAGTCATCAACTTCTAGTCTCCAATACAATACGAATGCATGACCACTTGCTAAATTCACCTAAATACACACACACATATACACGCACACACACACACACACACACACACACACACACACACACACACACACAGAGGTAAATTCAAGTTTTAACTTTCATACCATGTCAATTACTGATTCATTTGTTTTTCTATTTCTCATTCCTTTCTACCACACTTTTACTTTATATTGCACAAATATTTTTTAAAATTTTTGTTCAGGGGCAGTAAACTAGTTGAGCTACCTTCAAACACTACCTTCTCTTCAGGTTGAATAATTTCAATATTAGTTATTTTCATTTATGTGAGTATTATTGAAAGAGGTAGAGAACAATTTTTCTCTCAGATTATTATAAATAGAGAAAATAATTTTGAAAGTAAAAAAATGGATGAAAAGTATGCATTTTGTTGGTGAATGCAAACTCATTTATTTGACTTTCTAGTCCTTTTTGGATGTATTATAATGGCGGCAAAGAAAAATATTTAGCAAGTCAAGGAAGAGGTCAGCAATGATCCAATACTGCTGCCATCCTACTGCTTTAGAGACCTGCAGTATGATGTTCCTGCATTAGTAAGTATGAACTAGTGTTTACTGCAGCAGAAACTAATCAAAATATCCAAAGTGTGGGCACTGAAGAGGAGAGAACAGACACTCACCAGGGCAAAGCCCCTGATAAAGGACTGTCTCTTTATGTATGGACATTGGTTGTGCTTGGGGTATAATAGTCTGCCCACAACAGAAACACTTGATTGTCTGAAGAATTTAAGTGGAGCCTTAGTCACTTTATTTATCACATATGTAATAATACAAGTTTGTCACTTAGCCTTATCTAATGAGACCTGAAAGGGCACAAGCACTGATATTTAAAAGAGAGGAAAGACATAAACTTCAAAAAAACAAATGGAATTTGTATTCCCTGATATATGACATTAATAACTGTACCATGAGAGTAGGGTGTCAAAAAGCTAGAATATGAGATGAGTTAGTGTTAGACCAATACTAATTTAGAGCCATGAAATATATAGAATCTGTCTAAAATGCCAATATAGAGGCTTAAGATTGAAAAGTCATTAGAAAAATTCATAGCTGCTTCATGCTTCATGCATGTATCTTTTTTTGTTTGTTTGTTTCATTTTGTTTTTCGAGACAAGGTTTCTCTGTGTATCTCTGGGTGTCCTGGAATTCATTCAGTAGACTAGGCTGGCTCGAGCTTGGAAATCTGCCTGCCTCTGCCTCCCAAGTGCTGGGATTAAAGGCATGTGCCACCACTGCATAAATTCATGCATGTATCTTAACAGCTTGCCAAGTGTTTTAGAAGACACCAAGTCTACAGTAAGATCTACAGGCAACTAATAAATGTTGGCGTTCAGATAAATATTGATCCCCAAGTAAATGCAAACCAATTCACTGTTTAATACCAAATGTTCAATGTTGAAAACATACATACCAGTAACAAATAACATTATACAGACTAAGTAGATTATATTTAGTATTATCTGTATTTATATGCATATAGTATATATGTTCATATGATACAAATTAATAAAAATGTGACCATGAATTTTAAACAGAGGAGAGAATATGAAAATGCTCGATGGGATGAAAGCAAAAGTTTTGATGCTGCAAGTGTGTGTGTGTGTGTGTGTGTCTGTGTGCATGTGTACATATGTTTACTGTGTTTAAGGAGAGTTCAATTGTATAACAATCATGTTGTCTGTCAAGTGACTTTTAGAAAGTGTTCATCACCTGTGGTTTGCTTTCTTAACTTATACCCAGACTTCTACCTTCCTGGCAGAATGGACCCACTGATTACTAGAAATTTCTTGCTTAGATTCTAATATGTTCAGCCATTTTCACTCATTGTGACCAATACCAATACTCATTTGACTTTTGCAAACTACATGTATTTGTGGAGAATGTTTGATATGAATGTCATGAAACCATTATTAAATTCTATATTATGTACCCATGAAACATTGACAAATCTTCACTTTGAATTTAGTAATTGCAAAGAATCAATTTATTTTTGAGTAAGATAAAAGGTAAATGAAGAAAGGCACCAAAGACATAGAGATTCATTGGTGCCTTGAAGTCAAGATCATGAAGGACCTTCTCAGAGACAGAGGACAGGGATGGATGCTCAGCAGTTGTTGTTGTGAACATTGCGGCACTTCAAGACCTTGAGATAATTGTCAACTTTATGTGTATCCCTGCGGATACAGCGATACAGGGTTCTAAGAGCACTGTTCTTAGTGGATTCATCAGGTGATTGCAAATCTGACCACTCAGACCAGAAACTATAGTCACTTGCCATAGCTCCAGGGTGAACCTAAACAAACAAACAAACAAACAAAAGGATTATTTATTTTATTGGTATTACTTGAACACATTACATTCTTTAATGAGTATATAAGTATGTATATGCACTGACAGTACATGTGCAGGAAAGTATGTGTGTGCATTAGGAGATCAAAGGTCAACATTGTTTAAAATTCCACTGCTGACTTTTATCTTTCTCGATTTCTATTCACTTAAGGCAGATTCTCTCATTCACCAAAGACATGTCTGTGATATCTGTCACGTTGCCTTCCTAATGTTTGGACAGTAAGGAATATTCACTAGATCTCTTTATTTTTATATAGATTCTGAGATAAAATTCCTTGCTTGCAAGGAAGATATTTCTACACTAAGTCAACTTTATTAGCGTCATTCTCTAAATGTGATAAACATTGAATTGTGATTGTTAGAAAGTTTGTTAGTACACAACAGGTTTGACATTCATATGGCTCAAGGTATTATGAAAGCATTAGTCCTCTAAAAGTAAATATAATACAAGAACACATGTTTTCTGATGTGTCTTTGGTCTTAGATGAGGTATACTAATATTGGAGTGATGGAGAAAAAGAAAATGTTTGATCAGTATTTGTATATTTGGTCAAAGGACAGTAAAAAGGAGTAGGATTTTCTCAGCATATTCCTAACGATCATTCATATTCTGGTTTTAGGGACAACACTGTCTTATTATTCTATATTTAAACCTAACCAGTTCTCCATATTCTTTCAAATCTTTTAATGTATCAAACATATACTAAAGGTGTTAAAGTTTAGGAGTTCTAAGACTGTTATCAGATATTCTGTGTTAGTTAGGAATATCCATTTCACCTATTGAGGCTACTTTCTGAGTTAGGATGAGGCTACTTTCTGAGTTAGGATGAGAAACATCTACTTTGTATTGAGAGGTCCAATGTGTGTGATTCTTAGTAAAGATCCTGAACTAGGTTGTATTTATAAATACCAACTCCTTACTGGCAAGGCTGTGACATAATTATATAATACACACACACACACACACACACACACACACACATGTAGGCTTACCCTGTAGATTATGGTCCTCAGTCCCTCCAGAAGCCCTTGAGTTCTTTCCTCCAACTCCTTTGTTCTTGACAGCAGAGTATCAGTTACATGTGGAAGAGTAGCCACTGCTGCCACCATGTGCTTCAGAGGCTCTTCCCAGGCTTGTAAAATACTGATGGAAACTTTCAGAAGGTCTTCTGACTAAACAAATAAGATTAATTAATTAATTAATTAATTAATATAAGGGAAATGCAGCAGGGGCTAATACATGTGGTGGCTGAATGAAGGTTTGTGCTCCAGCATAGATTGGTTATGACTAAAAATCTAGAGAATTTTTTTTAGTATATGATGTTCAACATAGAAATGATAATATTCTGTCACAGAATTACAATTTGCTCAAAAAAATTTATTTTCATTAACAATGACTTCCTGGTGTATGTAAAACTGATCAAGTTTTGTTTTTACTGTATAGTCTACTGTTTGTAGTCCAGCTGAGATTGTTTTACTTGAGTGTTTCACTTGTCCATGAGAAACCAAGAACTGTAGGCATTGACTGAGCACTGTAGGTATCTATGGGAATCTATTAAGATAAAAATAGATGTAGATACTGTCAGAGAGTCTGTGGCACAAATCATTTTCATACTAATGAACTTCTCATTCACGTATGTACGTGTTCTCTGTATGTCATTGTAGAATATTAAAATAGAAGTAAAATGAAGAAAGGAAGACATTCAGAATGTTAATGGCTTCAGTATACGTGACTTTCTCCCCTTTCCTTCAGCAGAGAACTCCATTGTTTGGTCAGGTACTAGAGAACAATGGTTGAGTGCTGCTATTAACCTCAACATGGAATTTTGATTTTTAAGTATGTGTTCATTCCCTAAAAGGTACACGAATTCTGTATCTGATTCACAGTTTTTGCTTCCATGTCTGTTAGCTACAATCCTGGTAATGAAATAAAAATGAAATGCTGACAGAATCTCATGGACATTTTATAGGAAACCCATAAAGCATGTAAAAGAGAAATGTAGGCCAAATGGTGAGAGCAAAATCCATTGCCTGAATCTTTGAAGCCTAAGGTTTAGGATTAAAAGATTGAAGTGGATGAATCTCAGATTCTTATTCTATTTAGGATTAATGTGATTCAATCTCTATGTAGCCTTTTGTAGAATCAGTTCCTTATGGCCCTAATAATGCCATGTATTAGATAACTTTTTGAGGATTAAATGAGTCAGTGTTAATGGACTACTGCCCGAGAATTCTGGATATGAGTAAATTCTCACTCTTCCTCCACCTCTTTTCCTTCTACTGTCATTAACCTACTCAGACTTTATTCAGGAGAATAGTTTGTATGTAGGTTTCTGTTATTAGTTATGCATATTGAGGGGAAGTAAATTACATACATAAGAACTGCACACATAAGAAGGTTTGTGTTAATCATATTCAGCTGGTATAAAGTATGAAGCAGTTACACTTTAGCAATGTGGAGATGTGCAATCCTCATCATTATCAAGAGGAATATAATGCATGTTGAGGAATTTTTTTTCACTTGAGATGTAAGAGGATGCTGAGTAGCTATGGAGATCTTCATAAATAATGAAAGAAAAGTAGGGCCCAGTTTCAAATTAAAAGTGAAGAATCATTGATCAATAAGTAATATGTCTCCAGATGAGAATTTAGTGTATTTGCAACTCTTCTATGAATAAATAATTGTAAAATAATCCAGGAATGTCCAAGTCATATTAAAGTTTCTCAGAATATATTAATGATTAATTCCACAGGAAATGTGATATTAAAACACAATGCTCTGAATGCTCAGTTTGTTAACCTGCTAGTATATGAAACAAGCATTTGTCTTAGAATGAAATTATCAACCATAAAACATGATTGTCTATCACTACCTCTTCACTTTTCTTGTATCTGAGATGAGCTCACTTTCTATGGCCCCAGTAATCATACACTTCACAAGTATGCTGCATATTAATTCAGGTTGTTTGGTTCTTTGTTTGTTTGCTTTATTTTGTTTTTTGTTTGCTTGTTTTCTAAAGACCAGGAGGGAAACTTACTTTTGTCTGGTGGACTTGCTCACGGTTTTCTGGAGCAGGAATTGCGGCAGTGTGGCAGGGGGTTAACATCAGGTTATACATCAAGCCTGTCCTACCATACTTCATGTCCTGAAATAGAAAAGTTTAATTTCTTAGAAACAACTATTGAGTAACTACATTTATGGCCACACTAGAACTGAATTTTATAAATTTAAATTATTTTAACAAATGATAAGTATATAGAATTAAAACAAGAATGAACTAAAGATTACCTACCTACACATTCTACCCATTGTATAAGCAATCAAAATTTTAAATTTTCAATCCTCTTCCTTCCTTTACTATTTTATTATTGTTTTGTCCTTTGTCAATGATATTGTTTAGATATGAAGCACCAAAATAAACATAGTCTAAAAACTAATGGTTTAAGCATCACTGATTTTAGGTTTGAGGTGAATGCTATAAAATAATGCATACATTTTCATAGTTAAAAATAGCTGGTCCTTCTGGCACACAATTATCTTTTTCTTTAACTAAGCATTGTAGAATTAAATAATTACTCTCAGTTCCATAATCCTACATTAAATGCAATCATAAAAATCTAGGTGTATTTATTCTAAGGCAATATTTACCAATGGATAAGGGAAGAATTTAAAAAGTATTATTTAATATTTATATATTAGTCAATCAAAGGTTGTAGTAGGTGAAGTAAGTTATTATTTAAAGAGCATATTTTTAATACTTGTAATCAGTAAAATTCCAGAAGTGTATGAAGTCCTGTACAGTTGAAGGATCATGAGTATAGGATATGGAATGAAATCAACACTAGAGTGAGATTGGCTAGGAGGCTATATATCCACTGCAAATTTAAATTATATCGTACTTCCTAGAAAATTAAAAACAGTAATTCAACCCTCATCTTTGGTGTGTTTGAGTAGATTTTCTCCTCACATGGTTTTCTAGTTTAATTTTACTATAATCATACAAAACATCATAAGGCAACTCCTATAAAACACAAATCTGCAGAACACTGAGTAAAAATGTCCACATAGGTAGGACCACTTTATAAAAGAGAATTTCATAGTGCACCCAATTGAAGTTTTTTGTACACCATATCAAAAAAATTGTTTAAAAAGTTCTTTAATAAAAATTGAACATTTACTAGTTGCTTTACATGTCTCATTCTTCACTATACTTCCCTTTACCATTGTTCCATGTTAAAATATTGGTTTTTAACTTTTAAAATCATCTCATTTGAAATTTGTCTCATGATGGATTCTGTTTGATGGGTAGGGTTTTGTGATTGCTCATTTGAAACTGAAATCAGGTCAAAGATACCACAAGAAAATCCACCAAATCCACAAACATGGACTCACAGGAGCTCACTGAGACTGAAATGACAATCAAGGAGCCTTCAGGGCTCTAACCTAGGTCCTTTGTATATATGTTATAGTTGAGTAGCTTGGTATTTTTGTTGTTGTTGTTGTTTTGTTCTGTTTTTTGTTGGGTGTTTGTTTGTTTTGGTGAGATTTCTAACAGAGGGAACAAAGACTGTTTCTGACACTTTTGCCTGCTTCAGGAGCCTTGTATTACTACTGGGATGCCTTCTTCAGCTTTAATATGAGTGGAGATGCCTAAACTTATTAGAACTTGATATGCCATGTTTGTTTAATATCCCTGAAAGGCTGACATTTTCTGAAGGGAAATCGAGGAGGAATGAATCCAAAAGGAATAGGTGGTGATGATGGTGGGATGATGGAGAAGGTGGAATTTGGAGGAAGAAAGGGTAACTGAGGTCATAATATAATATATGAGAGACAAAAATAATAAAAAATAGATGATAGATAGATAGATAGATAGATAGATAGATAGATACTTACAAATTCGATGAACACTTTTGAAGCAAGATCATGGTTGTAATGTGACAACTGAACCACACGTTGGTATAGGCTTCCAGTGGGCACACCACAATTTGGTAAGGAAGTCACCTGCTCCCAAAGAAGCAAGTTTGACACTGTCAGCAAAAGGAGTGCTCCATCTATAAAGAGAAATGACATTGAAATGACCTATTTAAGTGATACTGTGGAGGATACACTGTCTTTCCATAGTTTTTGTGATACCATAGTTGATACTGTACAAGTGGAATCTGAATTCACTTTGCCCAAAGAGAATGCATAGGTGAGTAGGGTTATTTCTCTCACACACAGATTAAGAAGTAGGAGGATTCCCTCAGCTTGGGTTTGCCTTTGTACAGCTTCCCAGGTTTGTACACATTTTTAGCTGAGATTAATAATGAGATAGAATCCTCAAGCCAATCTCTGTGTTCTTTAAAGAATTGAAAATTTATGCTCATTCATCACTTCATTAAATAAATTTTAATTAGCTCATTAGTTGATATTTCTTGCAAATGCCATTTGAAACTTGAGGTGACTCATTACATTAGGCCTTTTCTTTTTGCCATTTATTCCACATACTAAATTGGTAGTCACAAAGGTATTGAAATTGTCTACCCTAAGGTTCCAGAACCTAACTCTTCCTCAAGTAGAATTATGTGAGCAAAGAATGATCTAAGCTCTCACACCCTATAATGCTACTGCTTCTTTCTGTGACTAACACAAACAAACCATTGAATCCTATGTTCTCAATGAAATTCAGTTTCTCAACTTCAGCAACAAGATCATGTTTTGTTGTCTTGTGTCTTGTTCTATTCAATGTTGTAGAAGAAAGTTATAACAGAATGTGAATTTGAAACCTGTAACCGGGTCCATTTTTTGACCTTATGTCAAAGAAAAAAAATTAAAACAGTAAGGAAATGCAAAATGTCTATGGACTTTGCATTTGCAACTTTCCTCAGACGATGTAGATGTCCCTAGGAAACCAATGATCTCAGAGCTGATTCAGCATCTCCTGACAATGTTCTAATTCTCATTTAAACGTGGATTTATAGCTTGGTTAGTCCTGGAAAACAACAGTTCTCCAAATACTACAGCACCCAAAACAACAAAGACTGCGTTCTATCCAAACCATCATCATGAGAAAGCATAGTGATGAAGCAGAGTGTGGCTGCAGAACTACTTACAGAAGGAAAATGGTTGAGTCAAAGACAGCTGCATCTCTGAGGAGTTCTCTCGAAGTCCTGACAACACGAGAAGGCTGCTGCTCCCTGAGTGCTGCCTTCCCTCAGCTCTTCGCCTCCCATATATACTAACAGATTCCCTCCAAGGTCATGCAGGTCACCAGGCAGAGGGAAGTATGTGTTTAGTCATGTAAAGGTTCCGAGATTATATCCCTGTAGGAAGTATAAAAATATTTCTTACTCTTGTCACAGTCCTGTTTCTGTATGAATTGTTTTGCAGTTTGCAAGAGTGTCCAGGGTTCAAATAAGATGGGCGATCACAAAGGTCATCTCAGGTCCATAGTGACTCAGAACCAGGTAAGTAGGAAAATATATTTCCTTAAATCTTTTCTCTAGATTAAAGTTCTCGATTCTCTCCCCTGTTCCTGTCATCTGTTAATTCCCCTGTATGTTTCAGGTGGTAACAACAGCCCTCCATAAGTTCTATTTCAGCTTTGGGCTGGCATATCACAGCAACATCCCATTATTCTCAGCATTTAATCAAAAGATGCATTTCTGGCTATAATCAGCAAACTTTATTAAATGTTT